CAAAAAAAAAAAGGATTTTAGAAGTAGTTTTTACAACCACAAAAGTAAATATTGGACATGAGTCCCTTCACTTTGGAAAAGTGTTACTGTCAATTTCAAAGTTTTCTAGAACAGTGGGCCTTAGAATGGTGGCAGGTGTTTGACAATAGGCTCGCTCCTTATAATAATGGCGCTAATAATATAATTGGAGAAAAGTTACATTGCTATGAGTCCACCTCTTTCTCTCCATGCAAGAAAATTTTACCGGAACAATTTACTATGAGAAAGGAATCCTAATAATTTGAAGAGAAATGAAACTGAACCAATCTTAAACTAATTGTAGTAGTCATGGTGGCTCGGAGATTTTTTTTTAAAAGTTCACATTCATCCAGACCCGAAACAACAATTTATGAATCACACAAAGTGTTGTTCTGTGCGGGAATCGAACCCGCGACACATTGTACGGCAGCCGGTTGCCCAGCCACCGCACCAACCGTGCAGTCAGATTTATGCCCGAGGGTGCGGGTTCGAAACCTAACCAACGGCAAGGACCAATGTGACTTTTTCCGAGTTATACGTACTTTCTAAGATTAATTAGACACCACTGACAAACGATGAAAGAAAACATCGTGAGGAAACCTTGGGTGGTAATTTTTAATTACAAGTTTTAAATCGCCAACCCGCATTGCGGAAGCGTGGTGATTAATACTAAAACCCTCTCTGTGAGGCCTTTGGTTAGCAGTGGCCACTTATATGCCTTTAATGATGAAAATGACTAAAAACTATATAATAACGAATAACAGATACAAATCTAAACAAAACTAAACGAACGTCCTCAATTTATTACTCCACTACATTGTATCATATTATTTTAATATTTATTGTCTCTGAGTAACCATTAAGATTTGATTTACAACTGTTGAATGTTGAAATTTCTATCGTTTGTAATTTATTATCGTAGTGTATAAATACTGAAATTGCTTTGCGTTTACATAATTTTGCTTTAATGACCTAAATTCGTTGAGGGTTTCGCGTGGTATAGTTTGTGAATAAGTGTTCATTTTAAGTATTTTATGTGAATATGGGATTTAATGTTGTAATATTTTTTATTAGATTCAATTACTAGTAAATACCATTACAATCGAATAGTATTTAGTAGTAGTTTTATACTATTAAATTATACAGTAAATGTTTTGCAAATATACCTATTGGGTTTTTCTAAAATCCTCTATAGAAGTCTAGAATTGTGCCCAGTGAATGGTATAAGACTCGCCTCCACTTACATGAGCATCTCGTAGCATCCATGTCTACTGCTATGAGGATTAATAAGCAATATTTAATTTTTATATACATACATAACATCACGCCTTTTATCACCGAAGGGGTAGGCAGAGGTGCACATTATTCCACTGTACAATGTAACACCCACTTTTCACAATTTATGTTATGAGTCCTATGTAATAGAGGTAGAAGGTGAACCTATTGCCATATACCGGGCACAATTCCAGAATCCGTGCTACTGAGATTTTTTTTTAAAACCTAAGTAATACTTTGCCCGACCCGGAACCGAACCCGAGACCCCTTGCACGGCAGTCGCATTTGCGACCACTCGGCCAACAAGGCAGTTTATTTTTTTCTGTAAAAAATATTCAAAGGTCCCAGTCCCTATACAATAAATGTAACGAGAACTTATTACAATTAGCCCAACTAACAAATAAACAAACCACTGTTTACACAACTATAAAATAATAGAAATGAAATTTCATTTTCGTTGTAGCCATAAATTTTGCAAGCAAGTGTACTAACTAAATATTTGGTGGAGAGAAACAGGCGAGCGAAATGTTCTGAAACTTTTACTGGCCACGTACAGCGTACGATAGAAACGTACGTGTATATTTATTTGTTTTCTATATATGTGTAAATGTATATCTTCTATGTAATATGACGAATGTGTCCATGTAGGTTAAAAAGATAAATTGTGAGAGCAGTCTTAGGGTGTATTTTAATGAACTTTAAAAAATATTTTTAAGCTAACAGACTGCCTCGTTGGCTGAGTGGTCGAAAGTGCGACTACCGGGCAAGGGGTCTCGGGTTCGATTCCCGGGTCGGGCAAAGTATTATTAGGTTTTTCAATAATCTCAGTAGTAGCACGGAGTTTGGAAATGTGCCCGGTATATGGCAATAGGCTCACGCCCTTATTACATGGGACTTTTAACATAAATAGTGAAAAGTAGGTGTTACATTGTACAGTGGAATAATGTGCACCTCTGCCTACCCCTTCGGGGACAAAAAGCCATGATGTTATGTATGTATGTACAAAACATAATCAAATCGAAATATAAAAGAAAATAGTATACACATTTGACTCAAATTTGTAACACTCGAAAATCTTACAACCACAAACAAGATGCCCTAATAACATTGCACGCAAGTGTATCTATAATGTTCGATAGCACGAACCGGCGAGCGGACGCTCTCAAACTTCTGTTAACCAAACGTAACTTCCACTGTAACTAGAAGAGTACTTGTGCTTGAGACTGTACTGTGGACTGTGTGTATGTACGTACAGTCAGTCTTTGGTTGGAAACATTGATTTTAAGTGATTTTTGGAGGCTGTTTTTTTATGGCATAAGCCGGTAAACGAGCAGACGGATCACCTGATGGTAGCCGCCCATGGACACTTGGAACACCAGAGGCATTACAAGTGCGTTACCGGCCTTTGAGGGATTAGGAGTTTGAGGATCGTTGGGGATTCAGGGATTGGGGAGATTGGGGAAGGGGAGGGTAATTGGGACTCCGGTAACCTCACTCACACGACGAAACACAACGCACGCGTTGCTTCACGTCGGTTTTCTGTGAGGCCGTGGTCTCAATCCGGTTGAGCCGGCCCATTCGTGCCAAAGCATGGCTCTCCCACACTCGGTGTAGGCAAACGTAACAGTGTGGAGTTTAAAATAGTACCCCAATTAATACATTGTTGTCTCGATTGCTAAAAAGTGAAGCGGTATTTGATATTAATCAAATTGATATTTATTTATCAATTACCGCAATTTAGCAATCGTAAACACACAACGCCTTTTATACTCCAAGGGGTAGGCAGAAATGCACATTACACTGTACAATGTAACACCTACTTTTCACTACGTATGTTATGAGTCCCATGTAATAGGGGGAGCCTATTGCCATATACCGCAGACACAATTCAGAATACTGCTCCAATTAACACATTGTTATAACTCACGATTGCGAAAACGTAAAGCGGTATTCGATACTAAATTGTTTCTTTATTCAATTAGATCCTACAAAACTTTTTCAATGATATTAGAAAACCCACATAATAATGACATTGAAAAATGGCTGATATTATATCACAAATGATAGAAATGATTGAAGCGCCAACATGTCAGTGGTGTATTCATGTGTGCGAGTACTTGCAACACCGTAATGTATGAAGTGTAATGACGGGCCATGTCACGCGACAGATGTCCTTCGTGTCAATGTGGGTGTATTCTGCGTTTAAACTGTCAAACACCAAGCGGTCACCGGTGACCGCAACCTATTGTTCTATAATTGTGTCTATAATGACGGTACTCGACGAGTTAAATCTATAGTAGCCAGTTGCGTCAGTCGTTGTTTCAAGAGACTACGTCCGATTTTTTTTCAGCGTCCTTGTAGCTTAATACATAACTTTCTAGTCTTAGAACTTTAGAGCTGCGGAGAACTTAACGGGTTACCAGGGCTCCGGCTCGAAGTGCAGGAGAAGGAACGGGGTGGTCTTTAGTTAGTAAGAGTCTGACACTCCCTCCCGCCTGAGTGAGGTGGGAGGGAGAGCCATTCGATGATTTTCCCCCCTTACAAAAAGTCTTAGAACTTTGCTGACGTCTTTGGGAAATCAAAGGCTACCAATATCCAACTGCAGATCGTTGCTAATGACGATTTTTTCTGGTACCAAGTATAACGTTTCTTCAATATTCAATTACATGAAATAAATAGTAATTCTGATAATAATTTACGCACAAATTGTATTCGGATTTCAGTAGAATTATTGGGGTCATTGACCGTACTACTACGTGTATAAATCTAATTATTTATTAATTGGAAAGCTGAAGTAATTATTGCAGGGTGGATTATTTTGCTAACTAATTAACGTTATATGTATAACACAGGGTCACGCCTTTTTTCTTTGAAAGGGTAGGCAGAGGTGTCTCAATACATTATAACATCATTACACTCAGCGATTAAGCGACTGTCGCATTGCTACTGACGCCGCAACAGTCGTCGCATCGTGGGTTGTGGAAATATTATGGTTGCTGCTCATGTATATGAGCCTCTACCATGGCTTGAAACTAGTCGAGTTCCTCGTCAAACAGTTACATGCGTAAGTCGAAATTATGATAATTAATTTAGTATGACTCATTAATCGTTTAAAATAAACAATATAACAACCAGTTTTCATTTGATATGATTATAAAAAACATGTAATAATTTAATTCTATCGCCAAATACCGCGCACATTTTCAAATTTTGTGAACTGGTATGAAATTTAAAAAACAATGTCATCTATATAATCTATATCTACATATAAAAGAAAGTCGTGTTAGTTACACTATTTATAACTCAAGAACGGCTATATCGATTTGGAGGAAAATTGGTGAGGAGGAGCTTGGAACCAGGAGACGGACATAGGATACTTTTTACCCAATACTTATTTTTTACTTTTAACCGAAAATCAAGAACGGGTACGGGAAATATCGGGATTGCGCGTACGAAGTCGCGGGCAGAAGCTAGTATGTATCTAAATGAGTTGGATGAAAAGATCGTAGATTCGACTTCTGTGTTTAACTTTCAGGAGCTATACTCGCACTAACGAGTATCTATATATACCTCTAAATACATAAATAATCACAATAACATAAATTAAAAGAAGGCTTTAAAAATAATAACACGACAACACTTACTAATCGCTACACCGGGATATCTTTATCCCGGGGGCCGCATTAATAACTCCGTCCATTACTCACCGTAATTCCCGGGGTAGTCCGGGGTGTCAGCACTAATCCCGCGAGCCCGGGACCACGGTGTCGCATCACTGGGAACAATGGTTTGTTAATTAGATATGAATTACAATTGACGACTAATTAGTTTGATGTAGTTATGCTAAGGCCGTATGTAGTTCGAATTAATGATGTAAATTCTGGGATTAGCTGAAAGTAGATGTAGTATATAGATGTCTTGGTGAATGTTAATGTTTTAATTAAACGATTATACATATAGCTGTATTCTTAATTATTGGCCAGAAACTTTTTCTTACATTGAACATTTATGACCAGAGTGATACCCCGGTCGGTCTCTTAATTTTGTATTTGTTGACGTTTCAAAAGTACCAAATTACGGTTTAATTGAAATAAATGCTTTGACTTTGACTTTGACCCAGCCTGATACGTCGCGTGCATTGTATTCTGGGTGTCCATGTCCATAGGCGACGCCGATTACTTACCATCAGGTGATCCGTCTGCTCATTTACCGGATTATGAAAAAAAAAAAACAAAATAAAAACAATGGTGTTATGCTGTATAACTGAAGTTACCGGACGAACAATCTGTTTCTACTTCTTCAAAATCCTTAGCGCATTTGTAACTAGACTGGTGCTGTAAGCGTTCATGGACGGTACTCATTGCTTACAACCAGGCGATCTGTGCCTATTGTTATAAGTAATACGTTTGGTGTTCTTAAATGCCATAAAAAGTGCGTTACCTTTCGGAGTTTAATCATGCAGTTAAGGCTTTATAACTTTTTCTTTTCTTACTGTTTAAAAAAACGTTGCCCCACATTAGGATTTCCTCCTGTGTCGTGGGTGCGTTTTACAAACATACAAGTTCACATACACAATGACACCCAGACCCGAAACCACAATTTGTGGATCACACAAGGTGTTGTTCCGTGCGGGAATTGAACCCGCGACACGTTGCAGCCGGTTGCCCAGCCAACGCACCAACCGTGCAGTCAAGTCGTTTACGTAGTTTACAAAAAATATATTAAGTTGTGTACAAGTTTTTGCAAATTACGTTTAAAAATACTGACTTCAACCCCCTCATTTTTGGAGATCAGTTAAATAATAAACGACACCCTTCTCCTAAACGTAACAAACACTTTTCGGAAAATCGCATCAAAATCGATTCAGCCAATCGCGAGATAGTTGCGCACAAACACACATACGTACACATAGGTCAAACTGATTATCTGACTGATTGACCTCCTTATTTTGAAGTCGGTTAAAAAGATAACCGTTGGCGATGTCCCATTAATCAAATTATTGTATACTGTACAATTACATACATGCATTGTCCAATAAATATTGTTCAGCTTGCTATAAAGTCACATAAACGGAACATTAATTAACTTTTACATGCAAAATTACAATCTGGACTATGGTTTATTGCCCAATTATTTTTTTATGGCATACGGTAAACGAGCAGACAGATCACCTAATGATCAACCAATCGGCGTCACCCATGGACACCTGGAACACCAGAGGCGTTACAAGAGCGTTACCGGCCTTTTGGGGATTAGGAGTTTGAGGATCGTTGGTGATTCTGGGATTGGGGAGATTGGGGAAGGGGAGGGTAATTGGGCCTCCGGTAACCTCACTCACACGACGAAACATAACGCAAGCGTTGTTTCACGTCGGTTTTCTGTGAGGCCGTGGTAACACTCCGGTCGAGCCGGCCCATTCGTGCCGAAGCATGGCTCTCCCCGAAAGGCCGTTAACGCATTTGTAACGCCACTAGTGTTTTAGATGTCCATGGGCTGTGCCGATTGCTTAACATCAGGTGATCCGTCTGCTCGTTTACCGGCTTATGTCATAAAAAAATCTAGCTTCACAGAAAATAAAACTTCTGTTACTTTTTGCACTAGTCTGTATATTGATTTAAACTTTCAGCTGAAGCCACGTGTTAAATAATATCGTGTTGCTGATTTACCGCAGAGATTATGAAGTGGGGACAACGGTGTCGAATTTGACTCCAGTTCAAGTTATTAGCTTTTCTTACTCGAAATAATACACCCTTTCGGGGAATACTTTCAATCAGTTTTGGTTGTCGTGTAAAATTAGATCGAGACTCAACAAACCACATCGTGTCTATCTTACGGCGCTTATTTGTTATTAAATACGTTTGCAATGACACTAGGTATTACGCGTGCTACATGATATGCTTACTACGCGTACTACGCTATGAGCATATTGCGCTACGTTTGCTACGACGCTACGCAACGTAGATACAACGCGCTACGCTTGCTATGAAACTACGCACTATGGACACAGTGTGCTGCGCTTGCTATAACGTTACGTACTGAAGTCTCAATGCTCCACGCTAGCTACGATGCCCTGCACTACCGTGGGTACTATTAGCTACGCCTACTACGCCTGGCGCTGTATACGCTACACTTGCGACGACGTTGCACTGATACCATAAATGCTACGTCTTCTAAGGGTTGGGAACTAGTAAAAAGAAATAATTTAAACTTGAAAAATAAAAAAGTAATGTAAGTACATTAGATAATAATAAACTATTTTTCACTTATTATATGGTATGGTACACTATTCTTAACAGTACCAACTGTGAATATTCTAATTGGTCGTCAACAGAGAAACAAGTAAAATTTATCGCATCACATAGACTGGAATGCATCGTAAATCTGGTATGCTATATATTACATAACATTATAAACCCACTTCAAGAGTATTTATAGTTTTAATACTAGAAAGACGGGAGCAGTCATTTGACCGCAATTTGATTTTAAATGTTGAACAACTTGAAATCTATTTGAGTTTTTAAAACTGTCGTTTCTGACAGTTCGAAAAAAAGTATTGAACTTGACTGGTTTGCAAGTACTGAATTGTATTGTAACCTGCCATCACTATACGACACAATATTCGTTTTATAAACATATGTGAAACCAAGGTTACCGGCACATAACTCAACTACGACATTCTATAATATCCATAGACACTATTAAAATTGGACGTCAACAGATCAACAGCCCCGCTAGAGATAAAATTTAACGTATCACATCGACTGGAGTGGGTCGTAAATCTCGTATCCTATTTACTACATAACATTATACTCGCGTCCGTATCTGCCATAAACAGGCGGTGTGAAAGTTAGTGGAATTTAATACCTCACTCCCAATTTAACAATCCAACGCTTCAGTGTTGTAACTTTGTCAGTTTTAACTCTGTAAGCTGAGTGTGTAATGAGTGTTTTAGGCTTTTCTATTTAGTTATTTTTAGTTTTGTCCTGACTGCATAGTGACTGCATTTTTGGCCGAGTGGTCGCAAGTGCGACTGCCGGGCAAGAGGTCTCGGGTTCGATTCCTGGATCGGGCAAAGAATTACTGGGTTTTAAAAAAAAATCTCAGTAGTAGCACGGAGTCTGGAATTGTGCCCGATATATGGCATGGGACTCATAACATAAATAGTGAAAAGTAGGTGTTACATTGTACAGTGGCATAATGTGCACCTCTGCCTACCCCTTCAGGGATAAAAGGCGTGATTCACGATAGTTATTATAAAAACATCTTCTTATGTTGTGTATCTGTGGTATACCTAGTCTATGCTCATAGTATAGTCTATGGTCATAGTAGTCTATGATGATAGTTTATCTATGGTGCGTGGCTGAGTACGCGAATTTGTAAAAAAAACATAAGACGCAATAAAACCGTGTGTCAATACCCTTACTCGATTTACTTGTATTTCATTCCCGTTTAACATATTTAACGTCCTATAAAGAAAGTCTACTCGAATCCTTTACATCAATCCATAATCCAAATTCTATAGAACAGAATCCTCGAAAAATACATTACACTCAACCTTATTTATTTCACTAAAATTGCATTGACCTGGTTTTCAAAAAACTGTCGACTTAAGTACCGAATGCTGGCATTTTCGACACTCCACCCAGTTCAGTAACTGTTAATGATACTTGCACGCCCCTAATTACATTGGAATATAACAAATATTGTACTGAGAGTACCTACTGTCATTATTTATCGATGATCATTTAGTTTGTGTAATGAAATTGAATTTTGGATATCCATTGTTTAATATGAGGAATGATGACAGGGTATGACAATTAAAAATCTTATTAATTCGTCAGTTAGGTAGTGAAATTAATGGTAGTATTATTTATTATACCCATCCCGTGCACACTATAGATGCATTATGATTTGATTTAGATATGTATTTTTTACTTTGTCATATAAGAAACACAATATTTTAATAAAGTGAATCAAAGTTTAGGAGTGGGAGCTAAGACTTCATTTTACGTATAAAATGTACATAGAAGTGACGTCACGTGACATTTCAAAACAATATAGACTAAAGTATTTGTTTCTGTAAGAAAATAAAAATAATTGGGCCTCCGTTAACCCACTCATACGACGAAACACAACGCTGACGTTGTTTCACGTCGATTTTCTGTGAGGCCGTGGTATTGCTCCGGTCAAGCCGGCCCATTCCTGCCGAAGCATGGCTTCCCAGACCTACAGGTCATTTAAACTGTCAAACACCAAGCGGTCACCGGTGACCGCAACCTATTGTTTTATAATTGTGTCTATAATGACGGTACTCGACGAGTTAAAAAAACCGACTTAAAACTTCTCAACCACCATAAACCCATCACAGTTCTATGCTGGACTATACTTTGCTTTTACGACGCCCACGGAAAGAGTAGTGCTAACAAATATGCTATTCTACCGTCTCCAAACAGTGTCTCTTTCAAACTTTATAGCATACTAATCAAAATTACTTTTCTTTGTTCCCAAAATAAATTCAGGAGAAATTCCTCTCATTGCATCCCAAACTTTACCAGGACCAGTACAGTCGCGAACATAAAACTTTAAAGCCAATAAAACCGGTACCATCTCCGACATAGCTGATAAGCACTTTTTTATTTAACTGTACCGCTCAACCGATATACTGCAAAGTGAATACTTGAAGCGTAAAAGTTTTATTTTAAAAGAGGTTCTCAGCTTTTAATGATATATTTTTGTAAGAACTGATGTAACTCAATATCGTTAAAATTGTATACACGGAGTAATCTATTTCGTTTTCGACCCGCGGCAAAACGACTTGTCATAAGGACTACTTTCGATGTATGTACATATAAAGTAAACCTACTGTTCACTATTTATGTTATGAATCCTATGTTATAGGTGAGCCTATTGCCATATACCGGATTCGAGACTCCGTGCTACTACTGAGATTTAAAAAAACCCAGCATTACTTTGCCCGACCCGGGAATCGAACCCGAGGTCCCTTGCCCGGCAGTCGCACTTGCGTACACTCGGCTAATGAGGCAGTCAGTAAACATTTTATTTCTTTGTAAAACTATTGTATTACCAAGACAGAAACATTTTACTTCGGGGCCGGTATATAGGACCTACCTCTATATTTAAGAGATCTTGTGGTGTATTTATTTCTTAAACTGTCAAACACCAAGCGGTCACCGGTGACCGCAACCTATTGTTCTATAATTGTGTCTATAATGACGGTACTCGACGAGTTAATGTGGGTGATAGATATCGTCACTTATTTAGCGAAAAGGAGGCAAAACAAATTTCAAGTATGGGAGAGCTATGCTTCAAACCACGGCCTCAAAGAAAACCGACGTGAAGCAACGCTTGAGTTGTGTTTCGTCGTGTGAGTGAGGTTACCGGAGGCCCAATTACCCTCCCCTTCCCCAATCTCTCCAATTCCTGAATCCCCAACGATCCTCAAACTCCTAATCCCCAAAAGGCCGGTAACGCACTTGTAACGCCTCTGGTGTTCCAGGTGTCCATGGGCGACGCCGATTGCTTACCATCAGGTGATCCGTCTGCTCGATTACCGGCTTATGCCATAAAAAAAACCGAAAAGAAGATGGCCTGATGACTTGAGGCAAATAGCAGGAGACGATTGTCAAACCACATGTTATTTTTGTGTACGTTTTATACTAAAAAATGACATGGCTATGTACCTCCCTCTCCTAAACTTTGATTTAATTTATTTTATTTTTTTTATTATATTTCATTTTTCTTATGCCGATTTTTAACTCGTCGAGTACCGGTTTTGTAGACACAATTATAGAACAATAGGTTGCGGTCACCGGTGACCGCTTGGTGTTTGACAGTTTAAATCATCAATACATTTTTAACTGTAGAATAAAATTGACATAGAACAGTTTGAAAAAATCGGCGATTACACGACAAAACAAAACATGTCTGATGGTTTTTCATTACCTAACAGACGGACTAAATATATTTTTAATTTTCATACCCTGTCATCATCTCTAATGTGGCTTGTGGCCAGTGTGGAATTATACCCAATAACTCCTGCGTGGGCTGAGCACCGCCGTGCCCTCAGGGAAGTGACTGGCGAAGCGACCTCTCGCGTCCGGGCCTAGTGCAGGCCATGATGCGGAGCGAGGGGAACTGGGATGCCGTCTCCTCCTTTTGCGAAGCAGTCATGCTAGCTAAGGAGGAGGCGGGACGCGTGAGGCAGCGAAGCGCTGCCTCCTCGCAACCCAGCCATCGCGAAGGACACACCGGGCGTCGGGGATCGCGGGACGATCTCCGGCCACCGTAAGCGCGGGCCTGCGGACGGCGAGCATGGGTGGCTCCCCGTCCGACCAGAAACAGACCCGAGCGTACGGCGCGTCGCGTTCCGCGCGCGCCTCAAAGAGCCATCAGACCACCACAGATGGGGCCCAATAGGGCCGATGCCGATTCGGAGTCGCGGAGAACCTAACGGGTAACCGGGGCTCCGGCTCGACGTGCAGGAGAAGGAACGGGGTGGTTTTTAGTCAGTAAGAGTCTGACACTCCCTTCCGCCTCACCCAGGCGGGAGCAGTCATTCGATGATTTTCCCCATTTAAAAAAAAAATATACCCAATAACTAAGGTCTCTGCACACAGCGGGCGCGGCGCGGCGGGTCGGGACGGCGACGCCACACAGAGCCGTCCCGCTCGACGCGACGGTAACCGAAACTCTCTCAAACAGACAGCTCTGACGCTGTGCCCGCTGTGTGCACAGACCTTTACAATACGTACGTGGTACAAACTAGATGCTTTATTTTTGTTACTATACCTTAAACTAATAAAGTACTATCTTTTACCCGCGCCTTTGCCTGCTGTAATCCTGTTTTACCCATGGCAGCATTTAATCGGAATAAACAGTATCCTATCACCTAAGTCACGCTACCTATCTACCCCACATATTATTAAAATCCGGTTAATAATTTCAGCGTGATTCGCGGACAAACATCCAAAGATGGAAACTTTCATTTCTATAATATTTACTAGTTACTTCCGCGCGATTTTACACGCTTTGCTCAGCTCCTATCGGTCGTAGCGTGATATTTTGTAGCCTATAGGCATCCTCGATAAATGTGCTATCTAACACAAAAATAATTATTCAAATCGAATCAGTACCTAGTTACGGAGATTAGCGCGTTCAAACAAATAAACAAAAAAACAAACTCTTCAGCTTTATAATATTAGTATTGATTAGCGTGATAGAATAATTACCGTTGGTACTGATGAAGTATATGGTAGTGATCTTCTTTTCTTTGCCAGTTGATTGTGATAGCGGTACCTGGAACAAAATAAAATTAATTAGTTTTAGGACCTGTTTCATAATATCTATGCCTTTAGCCAAACGCCACTTTAGCGCTTGTCTACAGAGAGAGAGAGTATAAAACTAAACGAATGGGAATGACACTGACAAGTGTCAAAATTTACGTCAATCCCATATAATTTGGTTTTTTATTCAACTTTAAGATTATATATACAGATGAATATAATTGGAGTTTTTTTTTAAGGGAGGAATATCATCGAATGACTGCTCCCGCCTGGGTGAGGCGGGAGGTAGTGTCAGACTCTTACTGACTAAAAACCACCCCGTTCCTTCTCCTGCACGACGAGTCGGAGCCCCGGTTACCATTTAGGTTCTCCGCGACAAATTTAATTGGAGTATCTGTTTGGTAACATTAAACTAACCACTTTATACTACATGCATATGAATGTATATACGATACAAATACCAAAAAAAAAACATTTTTTACAATTTTTGTCTGTCTGTCTGTCTGTTTGTTTGTTTGTTTGTATTGGCTAGTCTGTGGAATGGCAAGACCGATTTTGAAGGGACTAGAAATTTGAAACAAAAAAAATTCAGTTCTAAAATTTATATTCAACGCGGACGAAATCGCAGACAACAATAACTTTTAAATAATACTACTTGGGTACTGGACACTTAGACACTGCCATAAATTTAATTTAATAGTAGCCATAAAGATGGTCCTAAGATCCAGAAACCATTGTCCTTATAAGAACTCAAATAAAATTCAAGGTAGCTTTGTATTCGCAATTAACGGCCTGAATTAGAATTCAAAACAATTTGAATATAAGGGCCCCGTTTGTTTTACGCCCAGTCGTAAAGGTTTAATTTGTTTTACGCATAATAAACTTTAATTACGTTACACTTGAGATTATAAGTTATTGGTCTGAAGGATGTTAAAGGTACAGGGTTCAATTATCATCATGATTATTAGTGCAGGTTGTTATTTGACTGCCTCCTTGGCCGACTGCAGTGCAACTACCAGACAAGGGTTCGATTCCCGAGTCGTGCAAAGTTGTATTGTTTTTTTTTTAATTCTCATTAGTAGCACGGAGTCTGGAATTGTGCTCGGTATATGGCAATAGGCTCACCACCTATTACATGGGACTCATAACATAAATAGTGAAAAGTGGGTGTTACATGGTACAGTGGCATTAAGTGCCGTATTGTGTACTCTCTACCCCTCCGGGGATAAAAGGCTTGATGTTGTTATAGAATCTGCGTCACCTACATGACTGACGATAGATCTACCCGCGCGAACCAACGGTTAACAGTCACGATATTGGAGCTCCGTATTAAATAATCTCAAATATCGGAATCTGTTCGTTTCTAACAAAGTTAAGTGGTGTATAGTGACAATCAATAGATTATCTGTATTTCGTAAACATTGTAAAGTGAATAAAAACGAGTTTAGTGCAAAATAAAAGAACAAAACAAACACAACAACTGTGACAATTTGTGCAGTGCGCGCAAATCGCGGACCTATGTAGTGGTAATAAGAGTGTTAACAGAGTGCACCCGCGCTGACTACCTGCTAATGAGTGCGAAAAGAAATTGGCGAAGAGGTCTTGCGCATACGGCGATCGTGTGATTTATTTATTTCCCTCCTATATATATTTTATAATCTTATTATGGCTAGTAATTCTGATCAGTGGGGCTGTTGTTCTAACGAAATTGAACCATCTGGCAGCAGGTATTTGAAGTGTGATACATGCACTAAATTATATCATTACGCCTGCTTGTCAATTAAGGAGTCTCCAAAAAAATCGGGGTCGCGAAAATCTTGGAAATGTCCAACATGTGTGAGTAGCACACCAAGGATATCTAGGAGCGATTCTACCCCCATAAAAAGTGTATCTACAATCAGAGCAAATAAAAGGCAAGCCACCGAAGCCTTATCTCCCGTGTTGCCTGAGTTTAACAAAGATGACATTCGTTCCATTATACAAGAAATTATTAAACAGGAATTTAGAGATATGCTGAAGCAGATAAACTTAAATATTACCAATACCATATACAGGGAACTTGCGCCAATCAAAGAGGAAATTCAGGAGTTAAAAAAATCTATGGATTTCATTAATGATTCTTTTGAAGATATCAAGAAGGAGCAAAATCAATCAAGGGAAAATATGATTAAAATGAATATCGAAGTACAGGGTCGACTTAATAGTTTGGAGCAACAATCCAGGATGTGTAACCTGGAGATACAATGCGTGCCGGAAAACAAAAGGGAGAACTTGTTCAGCATCGTAACACAACTTGGTCGAGTAGTTAACTGTAATATCAAGGAACAGGATATCATGCATTGCTCGCGGATTGCTAAGGCAAATACCACCAGTGCTCGTCCACGGTCGATAGTGGCACAACTTGCGACACCTAGGATTCGTGATCATATGCTGGCTTCAGTAAATAAGTACAACAAAAATAATCCGCAAAATAAATTGAACTGTTCTCATCTGGGATTCGCTGGGGAAAAGTTTCCAGTATATGTTGCGGAACATCTATCTCCAGCGAATAGAGCCCTCCATGCAGCGACCAGGATAAAAGCCAAAGAAATGAACTATAAGTACGTTTGGATCAGAAACGGCAAAATCTTCGTAAGGAAAACTGAAGGTTCCGATTATATATTAATAAGGAGTGTGAATGGCTTGGAAAAAATAATGTAATATATTATCATCTGTTTGTTATTATCTGTTAGTTATTTTATAATTTAATTTAATTGTTTTTTTTCTTAGTTTTGTGTATCCCAAGATTTTGCTTGACTTAGTGATACTAAATTAAAAATTCAATAATTTGAATGTTTATTACCAAAACTGTAGAGGTCTTCGAACTAAGACAAATACTTTTTACGTAAATCTTTGTTGTATGAGTTATGATGTAGTAGTACTGACGGAAACTTGGCTAAATAGCAATATACTAAGCAGCGAACTGTTTGATGACAGATATATGGTATACAGGAGGGATAGGGAGGCGAGGGGTTTCAACTGTAACAAGGAAGGAGGTGGAGTACTAATAGCCGTTTTGAAAAAACTCAACTCTCAATCTAATCTGGAATGGCAGAGTGAATGTGAGGATCTCTGGGTCACCATTGACGTTTCTGCTACGCGTAGTACACACCAAATACTTATGGGTGTGGTCTACCTTCCGCCGCCCGTATGCCTATTGGCAGTTGAGCACTTCATTGAGAATTGTAATAAAATTTTCGAAAAAAAAAACAATTTTTCAGTGTGCATATTTGGGGATTTCAACTTAAGTAGAATCGATTGGAATCCAGAAGCTGCCACGGGAAGGAATTCAAATATTTGCCAGCAGCTAATGGAATTCATACACGTAAATCAACTCGTCCAACACAACAATATAAAGAACTGTTCAGGGCGTATTTTGGATTTGATCCTTTCTACAATACCTTCGTGTTCGGTGAGTAAATCGAGCTTGGCATTGATCGTCCCGGATAAATTGCATCCTCCTCTTGATATAAACATATCGTTGGTAGGAGACTCTTATCTGCCATATAATAAATTAAACCTTAAATTGAATTTCTATAGGGCCAACTATGACCAAATTAAATCGTACTTAAATGAACAGGACTGGCACCAAAACTTTGTAAGCAAAAAAGACGTGAATGATATGGTCCAAGTTTTTTACAATGTCTTAAACCACGCAATTGAGAAATTTGTTCCAAAATGTAAGTCTACTACTAACCGCTATCCACCCTGGTTCGACAAAGCGATGATACATTCACTTAGGGAAAAAAATAAGTTAAGACTACGATTCAAAAAATATAAAAATCCAAGAGACAAAATCGAGTTATCATTGATAACTAAACGCTGTGAAAGTATGGCTAAACACTTGTACCAAAAGTACATGGAGAATTTGGAATTGGGAATAAAAAAGAACCCAAAACTTTTTTGGTCTCATGTTAAAGCAAAACGCGGAGGGACTAGTACTTACCCCCTAACTATGACGGATGGAATGATCACATCGTCAAATGGCCCAGTTATCTGCAATCTCTTTGCTCAGTATTTTTCATCTGTTTACACTTCTGACAGTGACTCGGTTTACGACCACTCTGATTCTGATTACCTGCGCTCATTACATAACAGTCAATGCCTAACAATCCCGGAAATGGATAGCGATGATATACTGAGGAAACTGAAAACCTTAAACATCAGTAAAGGAACCGGCCCTGACGGCATCCCCCCCTTTTTTATTGTGGAATGTGCGTCGGCACTTGCCGTTCCCTTGACACTGATTTATAACACCTCCTTATGTACAGGAATTTTCCCAGCTGAGTGGAAGAGAGCCAAAGTGGTGCCGGTATTTAAATCAAACAAAAAAGAAAGCATTTCCAACTACAGACCCATCTCGCTTCTATCAATTTTTGCTAAGGTCTTTGAATCCATGATATGTTGTCATGTTCAGCGCCACTTTGGCCTTTATATTAGCGACCACCAACACGGCTTTGTTGCTTCCAGGTCCACAACAACAAACTTGTTGGCTTTTACAGATCTCTTGGTGCGATGTATAGACTCTAACAAGCAGTGTGATGTTATATACACCGATTTTAGTAAAGCGTTCGACAGGATCTCACATGCCATATTGATACATAAGCTGTCGTTGTATGGTATTACCGGATATTTGTTGAAATGGCTTGAATCGTATCTAACTGAACGTGAATTCTATGTTGTTGTTAATGGTTTCCGTTCCGAGACTTTCCCTATAGCATCCGGAGCTCCTCAGGGTTCCCATCTAGCCCCAGTACTATTTAATATTTTCATTAACGATCTCCCCCATTGCCTTCAGAATTCGACTTGTTTTCTTTACGCTGACGATTTAAAATTTGCGAGATGTATCGAATCATCGCTCGATATTAGGCTCCTACAGGAGGATCTGAACAAGTTATATGAATGGTGTACTTGCAATCGGATGGAGCTAAATATTAAAAAATGCTTTTACATCAGTTTTTCCAGAAAGAAGAT